ACAATATGTGTACTACTGTTTCATGAGAAACTATTTGTTCTGTAAGCCTTCACCTGAAGTACAATAAAAAAATAAGTAAATAAATAAATAAATTGTTATAGCCATGCAACACAATGCTCTGTAGAAAACAAAAGTCATGTTGCTGAAGTACATTAATGATATGGACAAAGGGTCACTGCAGATTTTAAAAGTAGGTTCCAAAAGAATATGTATTATATGGTCACAGTCTTGCAAAGAAAAATATATATATACATGGAGGAGGGATATATACATACATCTATCTATCTATCTATCCAAGTAGGGAGATTATGGATGATTTTTATTTTCTCCCATATTTTTCAAGTTTTCTTTCAATAGATATATTTTACTTTTGTAATCACAAAAAAACTGTGACAAAATAAGAAAGGCATTCAACCCTTCGTGTCCTTTTTCCATGATTGGTGCTCTGATTTCCATTATAATGTATGGCTTTTTTATTAAAAAAAGGCAAGAAGCAACCTTGTTGTATAGCATCAATGACAGTACCATATCTGCTTTGACTACTGCCATTAATCCATCAGTTCTATCAAGTAACATATAAATACTAGACAGTAATCATTGCAATTTAATCTTTAAATAAGGTCATAATTCCAGATGTATTCTTGCCTTAATATTTCTCTTCAGTTACATGGAATTTATGCTAATATTGACTTTTTTTTTCCTTTCAGGTAAACAATTATAGTTTAGAAGAAGTAACACATGAAGAGGCAGTAGCAATATTGAAGAACACGTCAGATGTAGTTTATCTAAAAGTTGGCAAACCCACCACAATTTATATGACTGATCCTTATGGTCCACCTGATATTACTCACTGTAAGTACCACACTCAGTGGTATCTTCTAACAGCATGCCTGGTTTGCAAAATGAGAATTCTACAAAGGAGTTGACTAAGCCCTCTGCTGGCACCTTCACCCTTGTTTAGCCTCAGGAAGTACTTCAGAAGGCATATCCCCTACTTCACTCTCTGGTTGCCTTATCAGACGCTTACCTATGTTTTGGAGGTAGGACAACCTGATAAGCTGGAGGATCCACACCATGGAAAGGCTTATGGTATATGTTGGGGACAGTGTGATTATAGTAGTGTTAGGGTAACACAATTTTAAAAGCTATTTCTCAGATTCCTAAAGCATGATAGCTCTCATGTCATAAGATCCTCTCGTCCTCATTCGTATCTGTATAATAGCAGAGTAGAAAAGAGAGGCTGATAAATTAGACCAGAGATAGCTCTAAGCCTCTTCCCGAGGAACTGGATCTTGTGCTTGACTGGTGAAACTGTTATCCTCAATCTCCTCATCATAACCCTTACCTGTACCTGAATTTGTTATTTTGGTAGAGAAGCCAGAGAAAATCCTCACTCTCGTAGTAGAGGATAGTAGAGGTGGGTTGGGGATGAAGGCCTCTAAGCCAACAACTAATTATAATACACTGTGCTGGGTTACTCAGGAAGTTCATTGCTGTATATGCCCATGTCTTCTCTTTTTAATAGGTCACCAAAAACTTTATCTAAGGTTCTGTCTTTGGGGACTAGATGTAGAAGCAATTCTTTTTCTTGATTTAATTTAAGGAACAGCTTTGTCCGTATCAGTAAGCTTGCTGATTCTGAAATTTTGAGAGTCCATTTACAGGACTGCAAACTCAGAGTGTGCTTCAGGACCTGCCGTTAGTTGATGCCGTGTTCTCAAGCAAGTTGTGCAGCCTCTCTCGGATTCAGATATTCCTCTCGAGAGAAATTGAAGGGTGGAATAATTTCATTACCTGTCCATTAAGTTAGCTATTTCTTCTTAAATGACAATTCTAAACCTATTCCAACCCCCCTAAAAAATATCTCTTTTTCAAGTAGTCTACAAGCTGAAATCAGCCTTACCTTAGGATGTAAAAGAGTTTTAACTTTCAGAGTTCTTCAAACTTGATTAATTTGTAAAAATCAGCCTTGAGACTCTGTGAGTCACTTCATGAAGGGGATAAAAGGTCAATGTCCAAAAAGAGAAAAGAGGGGAAAAAAACTTCTAATTAATTCAACAAATATGTATTGAATAACTTCAGTAGGTGTGTGCTAGACACCTTGTAAGGTAATATGTGGGTTGCAAAGAAGCTACGATAATGACCTTTAAGGAGCTTGGTTGAAAGGCTAATTCAAATACATAAATAGCAGTAATATGTGGCAGAATAAGAGAGGTATATGCTATGTGAGAGGTAAAATAAATGCCCTTTGGGGACTCAAGGGGAGGAGATATCATTGGTATTTAGAAGGTAGAAAAATCTTTATGCAAAGATAGCGTTTGAAGAGTATCTTGAAGAATGGGTGAGATTTCAACATTAGAGAAAGGAAAGAGTAGGAGACATGAATTCTAGGCAGTTAGTATAGTGGAACAAAGAAACGGGTAGAAAAACAAAGGCTTTGTTTGAGGACCATAGCAAATATGTCTTGGAGATATTAGATCGATTTTGTAAAGGAAGCTTTCATACTATATTCAATACAGTAGTGGCAATGGAGAGAATTTAAGCAAGAGAGCTACGTGACCAGAGCGGGTTTCAGGAGGGTTTAATTCATCTCAGTGTATAAAATGAATTGTGGGGGTGGGGGCAGGAGACAGTTCAGAGTGTTTTCAGTGGCTCAAAAGGGAGATGATGAGAGTCTGAATTAGGGTGGAGGAAAGGAAAAGAAAGGCCAGAGTTCTTGGTCTGGAGAGATCCCTCTGGGAATATAGCATATTTAGGGAGAAAGTCTTACAGAAGAATTTGCTCCTAGGAGCTTTTGATGATTGGATATTGATCATGTGAAAAGAACGTGAGCTCTGCAATTAGAAAGTTAACATTTTTATTTCAATAGAAAATTAATCATCATTCGGAAAATGTGGAGGCTGAATCTCTCCTCCAATTCTTTCCTTCACCTAATTATACTAACTGGGGTTACAGATATAACTGTTATTGCGTCCTTCCTATCCTAAAAGTCACCATGTGCTTGTACATATTAAATATAAATTAACAGCAATTCCCCTCACTTGGAGGACATCAAATCCTTGACATGTAGCAAAACTGTTCTGTTTTTAACACATCCTCTGAACTATAGCATAATACATTGAGTCATCCACATAACAGGTTTTTTTTTTTTTTTTTTTTACCCTTTAGCTTATTCTCCACCAATGGAAAATCATCTACTCTCTGGCAACAATGGCACTTTAGAATACAAAACCTCCCTGCCACCCATCTCTCCAGGAAGGTACTCGCCAATTCCAAAGCACATGCTTGTTGAAGACGACTATACCAGGTCAGATATGCTTGTTGGTTAGTTGAGTTTTGTGATCAATACCTAGAAGAAAACACATTTGCCTAATGTACTGCTTTGAGAACCAACTAAAGCTTCTGAGAGTCGTTCAAACCTATTGTAGTCCTACTCCGGTAGAAAGCTGGAAATAGTTGTAAAAATGTGTCATAGTCCTCCATTTAGGAAACAAAGTCAGAAAGTCTTGGTGGAACAATAATAATATACACTTATCCATCACTTTGGAATTTGTTAAGACTTTCCATATATGACCCATTTGAGCTTTACAGCAATGCTGTAAGATAGATATTATTACTGGAGAAGAGAAGATAGTGCTGAGGTTCAAAAAGAAGGAAGTGGCATAGCAAATATCACACACCTGGTTAGTTGAAGAGCCTGGACTCAAACCTTGGTCTTTGGACTATAAATTCCGTGTTCTTGCCAATGGTCACCCACATTTCAATGGAATTTGGAGTTCAATCAACCCTGCCTCTGGTGCAATAACTGTAGATAGTAAAAAGGGAAGGGGTAAAGGAAACTCCATATGGTTTGAATTTAATGTATCCTGGTAATCCCAAAGGGGAACAGGGCAGGATTCTAGGCCAGAGCACAGAAAGCCAGTGCTAATCCTGTAATATGAAGCCAAATTTAGCCAGCACACCTCTGAAAAAGTTAGGTCTACAGTTCACAGAGAGGACCAGTAAGCTTACTTAACTGCTTATCTGTAAACATTCTATAAATATTGGTTGATGAATAAATTAATTAAATAATTAATAAGAAATGTATTTTTTTCTTTTTAAATATTTTTTTTTCCAAAGTAATCTATGTTTTTTGAGGCTGGTAAAATAATGCAAAGATGTTCAAGAAACAAAAATCTCCTGCAGACTCCCTTCAGAACAATCCATCTTGACTGCAATATGGCAACCTGGCATGAGCCTTTCATACCTTCTCCATGCTCATACAAACACATGCAAACCCATATACTCAGACATAGGTGGGGCTTGACATTGTTTTACAAAATAAGTTCAGACTTTGCAAAATTAAGTTCAGACTTTGCAAATTACTCTGAAATTGCTTTCCTCAATGAATGATGCAATTACCAAAAATGAGGTTCCATATAAATATGTGCACTTTATTTATGCATATGTTTATGTGCAAAAATACTAGTCAGGGACTGTTTTGGTTTTACATCCTGCCTGTCTAATGAAGCCATTTGTCAGCCTGTAAAAAAGTAAGGGAGATATCCTGCCATTTAACTTTCCTCACTGGTACACGGGCATGCTTTGGCCTGTTCATTCCTTTGGTATTTCTTTTTAAATGATTAAGCAGTTTCTATTTATTTTGGAATTTCAGGTTTGCTGAAGTAGCTCGTTACATCTTTAGCCAGGAATGGAATGTTTAGATGCTGCAAATTGGCATCTGTGGTATAAATCAAATAGAAACTTCTTCTTATGCTGAAGTTTGATCTCTATGCTGTTAATCAAATCAATCTTTGCTGCGGCAAAGATAATCCTCGTGGCTCTGTAAAGAATTGTGTAAATATAGGGCAGCTTCATCCACCAGAGCAATGATCTATTTGCTCTCATCTTATCACTAATATTTGATACAATTTTAATTTGAAAATGTCATTTTATCGTACTAGGCCTCATGATGAATTAGCGTTCATTAAACCTCCTCTATAATCCAGGCCCTTTGCTTGCTATATTACATACACTATCCATTTAATCCTCCAGAAATAGAGAGAAGGGCTTTCATCCTCATTTCAGAGTTGTAGGAATTGAAGTTCAAAGAGATGAAGGAACTTGTTTATGGTCACACAGCTTTTAAGCAGAAAAGCTGGGTGCCCTGCCAGATGTAAAATCCTGGCTAGGAAGAAGTATTTTAATTTTCTCCTTATTTTTTAATGAAAACCAAGTAACATAAAACTGTACTCATCTTAGAAATATGTGGGTAGAAAGAGACCAAGTGTTTCAGTGAGCTCTAGAGACAAATAGACCCGGGTTTAAGGCCTCCCTCTACCATGGTGTGTCCCTGGGAGAATAATTAACCTCTGCAAGCATCCATTTCCTCATCCATACAATGAGAATAGTAATCGTATCTATCTAAAGACAAACAGAAAAAAACAAAAAAGGACAATATAATTTTCCACAAAGTCCAGTTCATTCATTTTTTTTAATCCTGAGATTGTAGCATTAAACTAATCTTTCTTTTGTGAAAGAATGGTGGTAGTCCATGATAATTATTTATTTTGTTATGTCTTTATACAAACATAAAGTTGGCAACTTTATATCAGTCTTCATTTTTAATGTTTCTATTTTTACCAGTAAAATATAAAAATCTCAGGACTGCTAACAGAAACAAATAAAGTAAGAGTAAGTTCTGTTAAGGAGTCATGTGTAGCCCCAGCAGAGTTCCCTAGTTCCACAGGCGGTACATAATAAATGCTTGTAAATGAATTTGAGTTTTATGAGAAGACCACAGGATCAAAGAAGTGTTAAAGACGAAATAACATGAGTTTGAACTTGAAAAGTAATCCAGCACTGGCCAGAGAGTCAAAAGATCAGAAAAGGCATTTATGATAAGGAGATAGCAGGTGCTGAGTTATAGAGAAGTGTGAAATAGAATAAAATGAAAGCAAATATTACAGTTTGAAATATAAGACTCATAAAGGAAAATCTTACCTACCTTGAAATTCCTATGCTTCCTCTCAAATGCAGCCTAGCTGTAAGATTAAAACATAGACTAGTAAAAAGAACAAGACTACTACCATGCACTATTAACACTAAGTACTTTAATACATATTATTGCTCCTATATTATTTATAAGATTCTTATTCCTGATTTTTGCAGATAATACAAGGGCTCAAAGAGGTTAAGTGATTGCCTCATATCATACAACAAATAGCAGAATCAAGATTTGAATTCAGGGCCATCTGTCTGCAAAGTCCCCATCCCTACCTTACCCCCATCTCCCCATCTCATGCTGTCTCTTTCCATGGAGAAATAATTGGATAAAGAGGACTGGACTTGTATCAGGAGTCTGGCTTCTAGTCCTAGTCCTGCCACGTACTACCTAGATGACCATAATCAAGTCATTTAATTTCTATGTATCTTGATTTTCTTGGGATAAAGTGTTGTATAATTTCCACAAGTAATTGTGAGGTTTTAATGTGGTAATATGTGTGAAAGTTAATTTGTCATCTTTAACCCATTGCCGTTGAGTCCATTCCAACTCGTAGTGATCTCGTGTTAGAGAGTAGAACTGCTCCATAAGGTTTTCTTGGCTGTAATCTTTAGTTTCTTTCTTTTTTTTTTTAATTATGTTTAGATGAAGGTTTACAGAACAAATTCGTTTATCATTAAACAATTAATAATCCTATTGTTTTGTGACATTAGTTGCCAACCCCACGACGTGCAACGTTCTCCCCTTCTCAACCTTGGATTTCCCATTTCCATTCATCCAGCTTTCCTGTCCCCTCCTGCCTTCTCATCCTTGCCCCTGGGCTGGTGTGCCCATTTAGTCTTGTATACATTATTGAGCTATGTGTATTATTGTTTGTATTATGGGCCTGTCTAATCTTTGGACAAAGGGTGAAGCACAGGTGTGACTTCAGCACTGAGCTAAAAGGGTGTCCAGGGGCCATGCTCTAGGGGTTTTTCCAGTCTCTGTCAAACCAGTAATTCTGGTCTTTTTTTGTGAGTTTGAATTTTGTTCTACATTTTTCTCCAGCTCTGTCTGGGACCCTCTATTGTGATCCTTGTCAGAGCAGTCAGTAGTGGTAGCTGGGTACCATCTAGCTGTGCTGGACTGCCTGGTAGAGACTGTGGTAGTTGTGGTCCATTAGTCCTTTGGACTAATCTTTCCCTTGTGTCTTTGATTTTTTTCACTCTTCTTTGTTCCTGACGGGGTCTTGGCTGTAATCTTTATGGAAGCAGATCACCATCCTTTCTTTCAAGGTGTCCCTGGGTGGGTTCAGTCAAGTACAAACCATTTGTACCACCCAGGGACCTCTTTAGAGAGCTATATAAACTTATGATTATCCTAAGGTTTTACAGTAGCTTATATATGAGGCCTACTTTTTATTTTCCTAATAGAGTTAACCAAGGAAATGAATCTCTAATGATGGAACTTGGAATAATCAGGAAACTTTTTGTGGATTGGGAACCATCTGTAAAATCACATCATGCTTTTTGTTCCATCTGTTCATAGTGTCTTGCTAAATCTGTTGTGAAAAGTATTTCTCTTGTTTTCCTGATTTATATTCACTTTTGTTATGGAAATATAGTAAGAATTTTTAAAGCACTTTTGATTAGAAGAATACTACAATGACTTAACTGGATTTTTTGTTTTAATCTCTTACTATCTAAGGAAATGTACACCTGGGTAAACTTGGATTTTTTTTTTTTTCATTGATCAAGAGAAAAGGAGCACAAATAAAAAGCCTTTGGATAAAAATGTCTTAGTAGAAAGTCTGTTGCATCCCCTATGAATCAGTATTCATTGTAAGGTAGATATCTGGGTTTTGATTTTTGGAAAACAAAGTTATTACAGTGATGCTGAGATGGTTTTGGGATCAAAGAATTATAGACTCTCAGAACTGTAAGGGCCAAAAATGAATATGTGATCTAATCTTCCTCCATTTTATGGGTCAGGAACATAAGACCAAGAATGATTTGTTGTCTTTTTCTAAGTCCCATAACTTGTAAGTGGTAGGGTGATATTTAGAACCCATGTCTTTGAACTTCCAGACTAGCACTCTTTCTATTTTGCAAAGCTGTTGTTCACTTTTTCTTGAATGGAGTGAGAAGTTAATAATTAGGAGAAGCTACAATCAGTCAAGGATCACCCGTGAGGAGAGTGTCCACTTTGTGCATTACCTACAACTAGGAATTCCATGTCTTTTGGGCAAAGTCTCTGGTCACCCAGAAGAGCTAACAACACACATCTTCACCATCTGGCTAAATATTCTCAGAAAACATATCAGTACTAAAATGAAACCAAAAAAG